AGGGCATTCCCCTGCGGCCCATTGTGTCCTTCAGGGGCATACCAACTTTGGGACTAGCCAAATGGCTCAGTGGCCGTATTGGGCACTTGGTTGATAACAACAAGACCACAGTAAAATCCGCCAAAGAGTTTCTGGAAAGATTAAAGCCCCTACGGATAGAGGAGGATGAGATGATGATCTCTTTTGATGTCACCTCACTCTTTACTTCTATCCCCCAAGATCTGGCAGTTTCTGTAATAAACGACCTCCTTCAAGAGGAGCAGGAACAACATCTGGATTCTCTCAATACCAATGACCTGATACAGCTGTTATCCCTGTGCCTGAAGACATATTTTACTTTTCAGGGCACTATATATAAACAAATAAAAAGGACGCCGATGGGATCTCCCATCTCAAGTATCATTGCGGAAGCGGTGTTACAACGGTTAGAGGTGACTGTAATGGCTAGGTATCGCCTCAAATTTTGGGCACGCTACATGGATGACACTTTTGTAATTATCAAAAGACAAGACGCATCAAATTCCTGGAGCAGTTGAATTCCATATATTCAGACATCCGGCAGAGGAAGAGACCAAAGGCACATTTGCCTTTTTGGATGTACTAGTTCAGTGGTTCTCAACCTTTTTAATGCCGCGACCCCAACTGGTCGTAAGTCGAGGACTACCCAACTGGTCGTAGGTCAAGGACTACCCAACTGGTCGTACATCAAGGACTTTCCCTGCCTGGGAGCGCCACACATGCATGGTGCCGCCCCCTGCGCCGGCTAAGGCGTAGCTGGCAAGGGGCAGCGACGGTGCAGGGCAATCACTGGCTGGGCCACCAGCTGGCCCAGCCCAAGGGAGGTAATGCACCTGCCGGGCTCCATGTGCGCCAGCAACCCTCCATGTGCCCGCCGGCCTCCCACCTCTCACCCCTGGCCCTCTTTTACTTACATTTTTAGGAGTTGCTCAGCAGGGAGGGGTGGAAGCTTCCAGACAGCTCGCCTTCGCTGCAGACAACTTGCAGCACCGTTTGCAGAATGGGACTTTTGGTGGGATCAGCAGGGCAGAGACAGCCTGGACAATTCCTATTGGCTTTTGAAAGCCAATAGAATTAGACCCTATTCAAGAGAGTCTATTCTATTGGCTTTCAAAAGCCAATAGAATAAAAAGGAGTAGCACAGCTAAGGAAAAGGGAAAAAATGGCGGACTGCGTTGTTTGGCAACCCCCGTGAAATGGTCATTCGACCCCAAATGGGGTCCCGACCCACAGGTTGAGAACCACTGTACGTTAGTCAGCGCTCCAACCTCACATTGTGTACATCCATCTATCATAAACCCACTCATGTGGATAGAATGCTGCACTACAGGAGTAATTATCCTGTAGCACACAAAATTAGTTTTGTTAGGACTTTATTTAAATGAATTAACTCCCATTGCAGCATGGGGAGAGCCAAAAATTGAAGAGAGAAAACATCTATATCATATGTTTAGGCTCAATGGCTACCCCACAGAATTTGTGAGATGCTACAGCAGACCATGTCAACCCCACAGAGCCCAACTTTCTGGAGCAAAGATGACACCAGCTGCACGGATAGCTTTACCTTACATCTGTGGTGTTTCTGAAGCCACGGCTCGGCTGCTGGCACCCCACAATGTGAGCGTTGCCCATAGACCAGAGCAAACCCTAAGAACCCAGATTATGCATCCCAAAGAGCTGCTCCCAACAGTGAACAGTCTTCCATAGTCTATAGAATTAATTGCAGGAATTTCCCCTGCAATTATGTTGGGGAAACAGCTAAAAGGATCATGACTAGGGTCCATGAACGTGAACTGGCAATCAAAAAGCAGGAGTAGCGCTCGCAAGTGTGGGCTCATATGGCCAATTTGAACCATACATTCGATCTGGAAAATGCACAGACCATATCTCGTGAGACCACTAAGAGTGGCCTCCTTCTCAAAGAAGCCTGGCTTTCGGATGAAAATTCCATTAACCAGCACATAGACTTCCTACCAGCATACCAGACTCTCAGAAGATGGGAGAAACAACGTGGTAATCCACGGAGTAGATGGCCATCCCATACGGTGCAAAAGCAAGACCATGGCTCTACAAATGGGGAAGCTGTGATCCCTAGGGAGGACAGCAAACTGGCAAAAGAGGAAGGGGCCCGGGTGACACCACACGAGATAGCAACTGGCAGGACTGGAGTGACTGGAGGCGGCAAGAGCTGCTATGGGAGGAGATGACAAACGGCTTGAAAGGAGAGACAAAAAAAAAGGGGAGAGTATGAAGCAGGAATATCTGAATAGTTGTTCTTTGCAGGATCAGGGAGAGGGAGCTACAATCATAGGATCCACCAACAGGCTGCCGGATGAGAATCAATTTAACACTTTGCAGAGCAACATAGCTAATGGGCCGATGATACGCTCAAGGAGCCGGGCGCAGAGACAGGCAGCTGTATATAGGCAAGCTCCCTAATCACCTAGCATTCTAACTCTGATGACATCAGTAGTTTGGCTGATGAAAGCTCAGTAAGTAACTTTTTTACTCACAGGCTTGTTTATATTAAACAGTCCTGTTTATTTTTATCCTGGTGTTTGTTTTTCATATATGTGAGTTTGCTTGCTTAAAAGAAGATTGATTCAAGTCAGAGTTAGACTAGGAAAGTGAATTGGCTTCAGCTGGAGGCCTATTGCAGCTGGCCATGTTAGGCTACTTTGCTTGTGGCTTAATAGTTCAGTTTAGAAAAGCAGTGTTGTGTTGTGCTTTCCAGGATTGTGTTGTGCTTCCCAAACCCTGCAGCTTGCATGACAAAAAGTACCAATATAAATACCAATTGTATCTGTTTTTGTATCATTGTATTGTATCATTGTATCATTTTTTTGACAGTCTGCCTTTATCACTGTTGCATGAACTGCTTTCTTGTAACATCAGACAGGACTCTGCTTAGAAAAATCTATAAGATCTAGATACTCTGCTCCTGTAAAATTTGGTCTTTATAAGAAATGTTGCGAATTAGTGACAGGAAAGACAGAAGTTTTTTTATTACTGTGAGGTGGTTTCAGAAAAAGCCTTAGAATCCACACCACCTGGATAATGATGGGCTTTTCCCAAACCATCAAGTCCAGTCTCAAGAGGACATCTCAATACTGGACTTGGTTTTTGTCTCAGAACAGATGCAATATGATTTGAGAATGGAGCACATTATCATTTGTTCTTTCTCTCAGTCATATCACTCTCTATACAGCTGACCAGTGCTAATAATCCTGTAGGGGTGATGAACCTATTCATTTGTTCTTAATATGTCCTCTTGGTTTCTTGAATTTAGTGACCTACAGCTAGGGCACAAGTATGATTACAATTTTTGGCAAGTAAAACGGTATCTAACTATCATCAAAATGATCTTTTTAAATCAAAAAGACCTTCTGATTGTACTGAAAACTGGCCAAATCTCTCCTCGCTTGGTAATAATGGCTGCACAATATTGTCAGACATTGCTCATGCCTGCAGGTCCTTTCTGATAGATATGAAGACAGATGATTCAAAGGCCATATACATTTTGCTACTAAAGGATATACAAACATTGATGACTCTGCTGGTACACCTTCTCCCAAACATTTTAAATAAAATAGCAGTTTAGTGGCCACTTCTGGGCATAATCATCCTCACCTAATTGTCCAACCCCCTCGCATGAGGCCCATAACTATAGCAATGTCTCATTTCCTTATGCATTTTCTCTGGTGGGAAGGCATCAGCCTCACCAGCTTCAATTCAAAATGAAAGAACAAAGTACATGTTAAGCCATCATTCTCTAGTGTTTGTGTCCTGTTTTGTGAGTTTTAAATTGGGTTGTTACCCATTTTTAAGGACATAATGAATGCATGAAGTACATCAAGTAAGGGAAAGCCACAGCTCCTAGAGTCTAGACCAGTGTTTCTCAACCTTGACAATTTTAAGGCATGTGGACTTCAACTCCCAGAATTCCACAGCCAGCAATGCTGGCTGTGGAATTCTGGGAGTTGAAGTCCACATGCCTTAAAATTGTCAAGGTTGAGAAACACTGGTCTAGACCATAGAACAGCAGCAGGAAATAACTAGCCAGCTTTGTGTGGAACTGTCATGTACTTGACCAGTCAATTCAACAGGTTAAACAAAAAGGAAGGGGGGAAAAAAAGAGATTTTGAAGAACTGATTCCCTCCCACAAGCAAGTCCTGAGCAAGGGGATGAGCTAGTATCAGGGTGCTGTAGCAAGAGAGTCAGATGCAAAGCCCAATTTTCTAGCCAGTCAGAGGCACCATCTCATCACACAGAGCAGTTTGCCCAATGCACCCCAACTACCTGACCACATGTTCTGGCAGAAGGTACAGAAGATACATCAGAAAACTCTGGCAGCTTTCCTACAGTACCCTCCAGGAACCCACAACCAAAATACGGGTGGTGGGCTTGTGGCTATATCATTTGGGACCAGTCGCTGGTATGTACCTGCTCTGGTGAGAAGGCTGAGTTAAAGACAACCATCATTTTGGAAAGGCAATGTCGAAACACCTATGAAGGCCACCACAGTTGCTGCGTATTTGAGGGGGCTCTTGCTCTTGCTCCAAGTGGCGGGACTCCAAAAGAAACAGCAGAGCTCCGCCTTTCCTCCTTCGGTACTAACGCGGCATGCAGAGGGTTAGGGGGCTGACTGACAACCTTTCCCTCTGCGCTGCACACACGTGCCTACAAAGACACGCACATTGGAGCGCCGTCAAACAGAAGGCTCTGCTGGTACTTTGGGCAAGCATCCGGCTCCGCACGCTGCTGTTGTCGCGATTTGAAGCGTTTTCCACATGGCTGCGGATTAGCAGCATCCTCTGCCGACGCCGCCTCTTCTGCTGCTTCTCTCTCGAATCTCCCCCCCCACCCCCACCCCATCTTCTGTCTTGGGCTTCGCTCCGCTTGACCGATCGCCCTGGGTGCTTCTCACAGGGTAAGGGGGTGGGGAGAATCTGGGGGGGGGGGGGGAGAAGAGAGAGAGAGAGATGGGCTGCTCGGCTGACTACACTCCGAGGAGGAGAGGGCGAAGCTGCCAAGTAGCACGTCGCGCGCAGCCCACCTCAGTACAAAGGGCTGCTGCCTGCTTTCCCTCAGCTTTCTGAGGCGGAGGCGGCCGCTGTATCACCGCACCGCTGCGGTATTTGGCCGGTTCTAGATTTGCTGGGAGCGAGAAGAGGCTTGCACCCCGGTTCTTCAGCTCTTCGGTTCCTTTCCTTCCTGATGGTATCCATTGGCGCTGGGTGGGGAAAGCCCAGGTCGCTTGGAAGGTGAATATCTTTTTTCTTTCTTTTTTAATGAGGCTGGGGGGGGGGGTTTGGAGGGTTGGTGAGGGGTGGGTGTGTATGGGGAAAGAACGAACGAGGGAGACGGAGACCGGCGCGCGCGCTCTCTCTGACTGGGAAGGAGGCGCGCGCTCAAGCTTTCTGAGCCTTTCTTCTGCAATTTTCGGCGGCATCCTTTCCAAGGTTGGTGCTCCGTTGCCTCTCACGGGAGTCGTGTATAGTATAGTAATGGGAGTTGTTACAAGTGTCTGTGACTGACAATATTGCACGGCCGAAGGCGGAGGAGCAGCGTTTCCCATTCCCCTCGCTGGTTCTGCTCCCTGTGGTTGGCTAATGGCTACATTTCTCCTAGAAACGTAACGGGTATCTCAGGCTAAGCGGCATCCCTCTCTAGTCGCTGGGTGGCTGGGTGACTCTGCGCGCGCTTGCGCCAGGCTTTCAAGCAGATTCAAACGCCGAAAGCCTCCCAAGAGCCTCGAACCTCCGTTAAGCCCCAGGGAGTCAGTAAACTCGGGCGCCTGTTTTGACCGGGGGAGGAGGAGAGAGAGATTGCCCTCCATTTGGACGCTCTGTTTGTATCCTGTTAGCGGCCCCCTTTGTGGTGCGTGCGTCCCTTTACTCACCCACCCCCATTGGAAATGGAAAAGCCTGACAAGATTCATCCTGTGTTAAATGAGTAGCGTTAAATAAGTACCTTGATTGCAAGCAATGACCCTTGAGCAGGAGCCGTGGGGGCGATAACAATTGTACTTTGATCTGGTAGAAATGCAGCCGCTGGAGAATCTTTAAAAGGCAGAAATGAGAGGCAAAGCTACTGGCCACGGGGCAACTGCATTGCTCTTTGACGACGATGGTGATGATGATGATGGGGGCTCTGTTTTTGAGTAAGGTTGCTCAAGAGAACTAGGCAGGGTGCTTCACTCTTTTCTCCTCCTTTTGGTTCTCACTCAATTTGCCCTATTTAAGAACTACGGGCAGTCAACAGTATTATTGTTTAATCAGATATTTAAGTTTCTTAAAGTTATATTTAAAATGTAAAGTTATATGAAATGGGACAGGATTGATTGTGCCTTGTGTAATATCAGTTGTCTTCATTGTCACCAACACCAGTGGTTAACAATATGCAAAGGGATATCTTTTGTGGGGTGAAGTCAGATATTAAGTTGTCCAAGAGGCTCACTTTTCGAAATAAAGTACAATGCTGCCAAGATAGCCAAAGGAGGGAAGAAGATTATGAATATATAGCTTGGTGCTCTCTAGAAGCACAATTATTAACAATATTTTTAATAATGAAGATATGAAGATAGGCTGCAACAACATATGTGTTTGCTAATAAAAAAAACCTCAGTTTTTGCTAATAGGAGGTAATAAAATGTTACTTATTGATGATTTATTTTTTTTAATCAGAAACAATATCCAGAAGACCAAAATACGCCTTCTGGTATATTTTTATATGAAAATTGACAATATGCAACTTGTACTTATTTATAGATGAATATGATTAGAATGTTATATGTGCATATTTTAATATTAGAATAAGTAAAATAAGTAAATAATTTACTGCTCTGGAAAGATATAAAATTCTATATGGTGATATATGTCATTATGACTGAGGGGCTCAGCTAAGGAGAGACAAAAGAAAATATTTTATCATATTATTCAGATAAGGATGATATGTACTTCCGATGAACAGTAAACAAAATTATCTTAATTCAAATATTACTTTCTTAGAATAATTTTATCTTTCTTAAAGCTTATCATAAGATTAAATTAACGTTATTTACACTTAGATATTAATGAGAACTCAGGAATAGCTGATCAACCTTGTAAAAGGCACATTTATTAAAAGGTACAGATATTAATGACAGTTAATTAAAATCAAAGTTTTCTCTGGTAAAACATTTTTATACTAATGTTAAAAATCTATGATTGAAAAACCAGTCATATAAGCTGTCAAAAAGTAGATCTAAGTTTATGCAATATTTATCAACTATTTTATAGCTTTTTTATTGTCCTTCCTTCTCTAATATCTTAGTATTCTTAATTACTTTTAAAATTGGAAATAATTAAAACAAATAGTATCTTTTTGCCCATAAATGCTTTAATCATTTTAATCATCTAGAATGATATACCAATTTTAAAAATTGAGCTACTTGCTTAATACAGATTATCATACCAAACCTTGTGTGACACCTATGCATGTGAATTATACGTACTTTATAAAATAAAGTTTCTGTTAAAATGTAGTGTGGAAACAAACTGGACTGAATTCATTGTGCTACACAGGATTTCAGGAAGTAATTGTGAAGTATAGTCATCTCCAAGTTGATAACCCCCAGACATGGTGAGCTTGACTCTGAATGACATTAGGCTGGGAACGACTGCTGTAGGGTTTTATATATTTTAAAGTCCTATGTGGTAATATTTTAGTGAGATACTATAATATAAATATTTGGTCTATATGCCTGTAATAGATCTGATAATAGAGGCTAGCCATAGTGTTATTTTAAACATTGCATAAAAGATTTTAAACATCATAAAAGATTCAGGCACTCCTTGTGGTATTGAAAGATGGTAAAATTGAGCAAATATCATTAATATTGCTTTATGTATTGGTATCATTATTTCATCTTTAGGTGGAAAAAAATCAAACACATTAAATACTTTCCAAAAGTTCTACATTTGACAAAAAAAGTTGAATGTTAAAATATTGTAGATTGTCTTTCAACTAAAAGGCAAAATAAAGTATGTTAGATATACCTGAAAGAGCATACCATTCTTCCAATGAAATTTTCTTCATGTTGATTAAAGCAAACATTTCTGAAGTTAAAAAAATCTTATCCCTAATTTTGCTTTCTCTAAAAAAAGCCTTCTGTTTTTCTTAGCAGTAAGTTCAGGTATGATTAAGATTATTTAAAAATTCTCTGATAAGATCCTACTCCATAGAGAGAACCAATAATGAAGACTATCTTGACTGCACATTGCACTAATTCTTTTTAATAAGATTTTAATAATTTAAATCAAGATGCAAAACAAGATGTAAAACAGTAAAGGGAATAACCCATGTTATTGTTTGCAGCTATTTGGATAACAGAAAGGCTTATAAAAGAGAGTTGTCTGTAATAAATAGGCAATTATCTCTTGATTATTGACTGAATTCAGAGTTTATGATAAGATATGAATTGAGTTTTTCTAACTGTCATTTGCTGAATGGATCACAATGACTTGGCAAACTATGATGCTATAGTACATGATTTATAAGCCATAATATTTATATACCTGCTAAGCCATTGTGACATGAGATAGTATGTAAATAAACTATTGTTTTATAGCATTTGGAAGAAGAAACGTGGAAGTAGTCTAGTACAAAACAGCCACTTCACAAATTGCTCTTCCTTTAATGACCTGTTCAGAATAGTAGGATGTGTGAGAGAATGTGGTGGTTAAATAGTTTGCATTAGCTCAAGAAGATGATAAACATTAGAATACTTTCAGTGTACAATATTTAAAAAGTCAACAGATTTCTGAGCATCATGAAATATGATTCCTATATTTTAATTAGCTATGTTTAACAGTCCTGCCAGCTGGAATCTCAAAAAAGTTCTCCATACTGTAGAACGGGGGTGGAGTGGGAAGGAGTAAACTGTATATGTAAGAAAATACTTCACCTGGGGTTATAATTCATATACTCGTAACTCCGATTGAAACAACCAGTGGATAAGGATTAAGCAGGTTTAATATAGGAGGATATCATATATTCTATCCCTGGTATGTGGACTATGGAGTTTATTACATACTCCATCAATGCTTAACTATTGTTATCTTAAACCATTTCCTCTCCAAAATTGATATACAATACCTTTAAAATAAGATACAATATTTGAAGTTTTAATCATATACAGAATTGAGTGCCATTGAATATAATAGAATAGAACTTATGAATGAAAATTAATACTTTTGCATTGTAAATAAATAAGGCTGCAATCCTATTCATGCTCATATGGAAACAGTCCTTGTCATCTATGAAAGGAAACTTAATGGCAGTGGAATGGGCCCAGGCACTACTGTCTAAATATACTCTTGAGCACTCCTTAAGGAGCACAGTAGTGAAGGGAAATCAAATTACTTTGGCCTGATAAATATATTCTCACATCTGTATTTATGTTTTTTTGATGGTAAAGATATAAAAATAAAAAGCAGTTGTTTCCTGTTTAGAACATCCAAGCCCAACAGCAATAAGAATAAATAACTTTTAAAAGTTTGAAGTTAATGCTTAATGATTAATGATCAGGCAACATATTTCTGCCTATCTTGCTAAGTTAAGCACTTCTAAACTAGAAGTTTCTTCTTTTGGCAGTAAATGCCTAGAAAGAAGAGGAAACCCTTCTTAAAGTTAAAAAGACGAACTAAATATGCATAAAAAGAATAAATTCTACAATCAGTACATAATTAGAAAGGCTTTCTGTTCAATCACTCATGCCCAGTCATCTCTTATTTGGACTATTGCAATGTGCTCTACATGGGGCTACCCTTGAAGAGTATCCAGAAGCTTCAGCGGGCACACAGGCAATCTTGGGTGACCAAAGAAAGGTGCACGTATTTGCTTCTTGGTCCAATTCAATGTGTTGGTTATGCTTAAAGCCCTACATGGCATGGGACCAGGTTACTACGGAATCAACTTCATACTATTACATCAGCTAGTCGCACCCAATCAGGTAGGGAAAGTATATTTCAGACTCCATCAGTTGAAAAATTCTGACTGGTGGGGTCCAGGAACAGAGTTTTCTCTGCCATTGCCCACATCCTGTGGAACATTCTCTGCCACTCTTGTGGCTTTTGGGAAAGGGGTGAAAACATGGATCTGGAGCCTTGCTTGGGGAGCACAAAGAAGCATGCAGCTGTCAGGCTGGTTAGCACCTTGGAAGCCCTCTCCCCTTTAATTAATTTTTAATATTACCTGTCTCTTTAAAAATTTTAACTTTATT